TACCTTGATGACAAAATTGTCTCTTTACTTAATTGACACTTAATTACTTAATTGGATTCTGCTGCACTTAAGTAATTAGAGTTTAGCTGAAAATTCCAAGTGGTAGTCAAGGCCCGATACAGACCCACACGCTTCACTGATATCTTCGGATTGCTGTCCAGAAAGCTTACTGCCTTTAGCTGCCCAGCCCTGAAAATATCTTGACAAGTTTGCTCAAGAAGAAACAGGATGCAGCACACACAGCAATAGCTCTGCTACTGATACGGCTATTTGTTCCAACGAAGTAACCACTGCCACTACCACAACCACTGCTGCTGACATAACCACAACCACAACCACTGCTGCTGCCACAATCACTACCACAACCACTACTGCTGACACAAGCTCTACTGTTGTAACCACTGCTGTTACTTCTTCAGTCTCTACTGCTACTACTGTTGCTGCTTCAAGTACCACTGCTGTCGAGGACTGTGTGCACTTGTGACTGTCTGGTTAGGTCACCTGTAGGAACGGGAACATCAGGAGCCATTGAAACCATCCAGCAGCTCCACACTGTCAGGATATTGACAAGGGCAGGAAGCCTCAATTTATGTTGATTAGCGTCATCCACCAAGGCTTACCTGTAGAAGATAAGGGACACTAATGGGCCCTTGAGGAAATTAAACCATGAGAGTGGTTCCTAACCCAGATCCGGGGGGACCAGTCTGATGTATTTGGTTTGAGCTGAGGTTTTAAATCACTGGTCCTATGTGATGCCCATAATTGATCAGCTAATTTTAAGATGTTTCTGCACTGAATCTTGAGTGTCAAAATTGCCCAATGTGAAGCATCCTATTGCCAACAACCTCAACACACAGAACTGGAAGCAAGGATCTCACAGTCAGGGGGCGTGGCTCAGGATCTCGCAGTCAGGGGGAGCGGCCCTGTAGCTCACAGACAGGGGGTGTGGCCCAGGATTTCACAGTCAGGGGGTGTTCACTGTCGTGGGGCGTGGCCCTGGAGCTCAAATACAAGGAGCGCTGTCCTGGAGCTCTCATGTCCTCAGCCAGCAGAGGTCCAACTGTTTCCATTCCAGCCACCCAGGGGAGGGGCCTGCCAGACCTCAGGAGGAAGAACAGGGCAGATACCACGTACAGATCCCTCTCAGCATTTCCTGAGCTGAAAGCCAACTCCAATATGCCCCCGGAGAAAACTGAAATCAATTAGCCTGCAATTACTAATTCAGCTAGAATGAACAGCAGAAGACACAGAGCTCCCCCAGGAGCAGGGCTGGAGACCCCTGATCTATAACAGCAAGACTGGGCTGATTGAAGGTGCATTACAAGGATTCATGGTGTCAGTGCAATGGTCTCTGGTTTACACTTACTGTATTCCAGGACAGTCAGGACATGACGTCAGTAACAAGGGAAAACTCATCTGGGCTGTTTAAGATATGGTAGAAACGCTCTTCTATTTTTTTAAGTTGGGGTGGATGGATGGACACATTTTTTATCCTAATCCTTTTCTACAATTTCCTTTGTTTCAGGAAGCTTTCAACCAATTCCTGCCACCAAGTGCTGAATAAGACAACCATGGAGTAAAAACACACACTATTGGGTTTCCTTGTATCACCAGGCCAAACTGTTACTTCATCCAATTCAGGGTTGCGGGAGAGTTGAAGCCTAACCTGGCAAGCAACAGGCACAGGGCAGGATACACCCTGGACAGGACACCAGTCCATCACAGTGCAGGTACACACAGACACGCTCACACCAGGGCCAGTCTTCCCAGAAGCCAATTTACCTGCCAGCGAGTCTCTGGACTGTGGGAGGAAACTGGAGCATTTGAAGGAAACCCACATGAACACGGGGAGAACATGCAAACTCCACACAGACAGCACCCCAGTAACTGAGCCCAGGAGCCCAGCATTGCGAGGCAGCAATGCTGACCACTGCGCCAGCCCCGAAACTGGTATTGTTAGAGACAAGAGCAAAGAGAAGGCAGGTGAGAGATTCCACCCACACCCACTTGTTCACCAGTGCAGCCCAGACAGCCCGAGAGCGCGCCGCAGTCTTCCTCGGCATGAGTAGTGGTGGCAGGCTGTAGACGGAAATCAATATATTGACGGCATTTGTGTCCTGCTTTTCGCTTCAAGTATCCTTGAGCGCTGCACCCACCCGGGCAGCGTGCAGCAGCCCATGTGCACTAGCATGTAAAGACAGCAAGCTTAGAGGCTGCTAAGACAACCTTCGTGCACGAACCTTCGTATCATGGCGCGAGGTCTCGCTTCCTGTCCAGGTGCGGGTAACCAGGCAACCGCCCATTCCTTCCCGACATCCCTTGCACCGTATTGCTACGCCCGAGGACATTAATTAATGGAAGCACGCCCGTAGATTATAGTCTGGCTGTCAAAAGCCTTTTTAACAGGGAGTGTACCTCGATCGAGCGGTCCAGCGTTGCTTTATAGTTCTGGGTCCTCGGTTTGATTCCGGGCGGAGGTTCCTTCTGTATAAGTCTCGCATTGGACTGGCGTTCACCATGTAGCACTGCAAGTTTCGCGACCCTTCCCAGAGACATTGCGGTTTTCTGGCCGCTGTTATAGTCGTATCGTTTACTCACGAAACCCATGAAGTATCGACAGACTTTTTCGCGCCCTTGTCCGACGAAGCGCTTAACTGGTTCCGCACACCAGGCGCACTTCCATAATTGGTGGTAAATAAATGCAATGTCACCCGAACAGTTGCAAGTAACGTGAGTCTTTAGGATAAAAACACACATAGTGCAGAAAAATAAATATTCCGTAGCGGGGTTCAATTAGAAAAATGTTATGTTCTTAAACACTGATCATTTAAAAGGCTAAATAAGACAGTTAAAATTTGACAGAGATCCGAGGAAGTTTTGTTTATGTAATTGTAGGCGTGCATTTCTCTGTAACCACCAGAGGGCGTAAGGAGACCATTCAGTGTTGCGCCGCGGTATAACTTTCTTCGCAGCTGACAAATCCAGAGGTATTGCTAAATAAAACAATAACTTTTGCAGTTATCTTAGGTGAGATAGAAATATTACGATGCGACTGAGCAAATAAGTAAGTAATGTAAGCAAAGTTAAAACATTCATTTCAGGAGGACAGTTTCAATTCTTTGCCGTCATTAAGTCTAGATATATTCTTTTTCTGAAAAGGCTTACGTGTATTTATGTGGTCCACCAGCAGGTGGCGCCCTTGCCCAGGTTTTGATGAGCCTTCCGGAAAGAGATTTCCTGGCGGCCATTTTACTTCTCTGGCAGCGCGCCTTTTTCAACCAACCGATTCTACTGCAGCGTAGGAGACCCGTTGCTAAACCGAATCCGGAGTCTTCTTCAAGGGGACTTTCTGTGGGGCTTTGAGGTGTAGCAAAGCAATAAAAAAGTGGTGGAAAAACCTTCCACCTGTCTATTTTTAAAAACACCCGGTATGGAATCTCAGTGTTTAGTGCAGCATTGCTGCCTCGCAGCGCTGGGGCCCTGGGTTCAGTTCCGGATCAGGTGTGCTGTCTGTGTGGAGTCTGCATGCTCTCCCCGTGTTCACTTGGGTTTCTCCAGGTGCTCCTGTATCCTCCCACAGTCCAGAGACGTGGCCCTGGCACGAGTGTGTGTGTGCCCGGATGTCTGCGTCTGTGATGCACAGGCATCCCATCCAGGCTTCGCCTCGCCCGGCTAAGCTTTGCCTTTCTTGCGCCTGTTGCTTCCCAGTACAGGCTCCAGCTCCCCCACAGCCCTGTGTTGGATAAAGCGATTAGAAAATGGATGGATTGGGATCTCTGTGACCTATTTGAACACATGACTCTTGTTTTCAAAGCTCTGATAAGTGTTAAGAGTTTTCTAATGTGTTAATGTTGTCTTGTATGTGATGCTGTGGCGGTCTCACCTGAGCACAGTTCTAGGAGATAAATGACAAACAACGCTTCGGCCTTGGAGCTTTCCTCGAGCAGACTCGAAAAGGGCTCCACAGATGAAATGCTGTTTTTCTTCTCTTTTCAGCATAGAATAGACTTTTACTTGTTCCTCTGCAGCCTACGCATGCTGATGCAGCTACCTACTCAAGCTACTTCAGGATAAATGACAAGTACCTGTTCTGTCACCACCTGAATCGGTCAGTTCATAACTTTTAAGATTGAGGTTTCTGCCCCTCAAAGCTTTTTCACAGGGACTGTACACTATAGCAGTACAGTGTACACTGTATATACTCTTCTTGCTAATAAAATTACATTTGTCTTTCTGGTCCCTCGTAATCAAATAAATAAATGTCTGTTCAAGGCTGTAATTTTTGTCAAGAAGTGGTAGCTCAGAAGCTGAGCAAGTTTTATTTGTATTTATTTACGGCACAGCTCTGACAGAAGCCAGGTCGCCATCACTCTCTGTCCCACTCAGTTTCTGGTCACACTCAGGACACTCAAGGTGTTCTTGACCCCCAGCTACATGGGGCACCGTCCTGGGCATGAAGGCAGAACAGTGCTGGGTTACCTCCTTAGAGCGGTGGCTCTGTGGCTCAGGATCTGTGCCCGTGGCTGGAAGGTTGCCAGTTCATATCCTGCAGCCGGCAGAGGAATCCTACTCCGTTTGGCTCCTGAGCAAGGCCATTTACCCCAGTTGCTCCAGGGGTGCTGTACAATGGCTGACCCTGCGCTCTGACCCCAAGCTTCTCTCTCCCTATCGGTTTGTATGTGTGTCTCATGGAGAGCAAGCTGGGGTATGCAAAAAGACAAATTCCTACTACAAGAAATTGTATATGGCTAATAAAGTGATCTTATCTTATCTCTTACCTGGGAATGGGGGGGGTCTATCACTGGATTTGGATCTGTAGGATAAGGGGAAAAGCTTTGGGAAAGCACGTGTGTGTGGTGGATGTCATCGCCAGCTACAACCTCTACCCTTAGGCTGCAAATTCAACAAAACCACAGTTTTGAAGAGGAAGATCAGTGGAAAAAAGCTAAAAACACCATTTCATTTTTAAACGGCACACATGCATAAAACAAATTAACAGGTCAGGAAGAATTTCAGCAATTTTATTCATGTTTTAACCTGCATGGAATACAGTTCCCACAACCGGATTTCAGAACAATACATTGTACAGTGTGTTTTTTCAGTGCAGTCACTGCTTACTGCCCGTCCCCCAGATGGCAACCCACAGTACAGCCAAGCCAGGGCACACACATTCCTAGACCATTAATACAGCAGGATCATAACGCCAGACAAAATCCGTGTGCTACACGGTGACTAACACACAGCCGCTGAACCAGCAGGCCTTCCAGCCCACCACACAGCTGAACTCTGCTCCAACCAGCTCCTAACTGGTAAACTGATAGTAGGATCCACATGGCCAAAATGGGGCCCTCGTTATGTGAATGTACTGCAAAGGAGTGGACAGGATGTGACCCCCCGGTCATGTTAGGAAATAGAAAGATGAAATCAAAGTAATGGAGGTTACAGTTTGTCTCTGGTCTCACAAGAGTCATGCACATTATGGGGAAGCAGTCTCCAGCTTTGTAGCTTGGGGTGGGGTTATCGAAGAACACTTCCCAGCTTGCTGCTCCTAAACCAGGAAATACCGGATCCCAGCCACGGCCTGCGGCCCTCGCTTCTGCAGCGCCAAGTTCCCACCTGCTCCTCTTTCACGTGGCTCATCTCCCACCACCAGAACCACCTAAAGGAAACACGTAACCTTTCCCTTTCCGCGGCTGAAACGTCATGCCGCACTCAAGGGTGAAAAGGCTGAGCAGTGCTTTCTCACGTAAACACCGCCGTTGACAACACAACCCCAAGTCCTGCTCTCGGAAAACACACCGAAAGGCATAGCGACTATCGAGCATTGAAGAACTCTGCTGTAAATAATGACGCATCGCTGCTATTGTTTGTGCTAATTATTACAAGGTTGGCCTCTCTGACAACTGTGAGCGGAGTGATGAGGTTATAGAGGAAACAACAGTGTACACAACAATCCTCTACTTGGAATGTGAACAGTCATGAGGGAGCCCAAGGCCCAATGGGAGACGAGCTGCCCTGCGAAGATTCTGCATATTAATGAGCCCTATTAATATTCATGAGCCCGTGGGGGGAGGGGCAGAGGCAGAGGGAGAGCGAACCACAGCCAAGACGGAACACCAGCCTCTGACCGCTCACTCCATCACACAAAACGCTCTCATCCTCGTCTCGGCCAATAGGAACGAACGGCTCAGGTTTTTTTTTGTTGAAAAAAAACTATGCTGATTGGTGGAACAATCAGACCTTTCAGTGCAGTGATCAGAAGAAAATAAGGTCCCAGTTCAGAGTTATCAGAGGCAGCAGTCTCACGGGGCTATATAATATATAATATGGTCAATAGTTAAGCCCACAATCTCCCCCCAGGAACAGACAAGAAGCCTGGGAGACTGTTCCCATGCACCCGTTTGGCACCCGGAATGCCTCCCATTCAATGGGGAGCACTGAATATTTCTGAAGAAGAAAATGTTCAGTCGAGCCCGACTACTGACTACTGAGGACTTGTGTGTGAGACTGCTGCCCTGGAGAGAGAAAGAGAGAGGAATCCACAGCTGGAAGAGGGGAGGGGGGGGGTGGGGAGATCACAGGAAGGACACGTTCGCTTCTGTGTGTACTCTCCCCTGGGAGCAAGCAAGTGGCTCTCAGCTCCTGTCCTATCGCAGCAGAGACCACTTGATCTGTTCTTTGGCAGACTGAAGCACCTGTCAACGAAAGAGTGGAGCAAAGTTAAACAGGCCAGACCTTTTCCAAGGAGTCTATAAATCTAATGGCTCCAAATAACTGTCCATCCAGCGTATATCCACACGGAGCACGCCAGCCTCCCGCAGAGCGCACACGCCAGCCTCCCGCAGAGCGCACACGCCTCACGGGGCACGCCACCCGCCCGCAGAGCGCACACGCCACCCGCCCGCAGAGCGCACACGCCACCCGCCCGCAGAGCGCACACGCC